AGTCTTACTATTAGGAAACACAAATCCAGTGTTCAATAATCTACTATTCGGAACTTCATAACATGGCCAGTAGTCTTATCACTAGAAATCACTAATTTCTCAACATGTGGTCAGTAGACTTTTTACTAGTAGGAATCACAATGTCTTAACCTGTGATCAGTAGTCACTTTACTACTAGGAATCACAACGTCCTGACATAGGGTCAATAGACTCTTTTCATTACTAGGAATCATCATGTCTTGACATATGACCAGTAGCCTCTCCACTAGTAGGAATCATGATGTCTTGACATGTGATCAGTAATCTGTTCACTACTAGGAACCACAATCTCATAACTGTGTAGCCAGTAGTCTAACACCTCCTAGGAACCACCAGTTTTCTATCTCTGTGATCAGTGATCTTGTACTCACTAGGAACCACAAATTTAAGAATATATTTGGAATTTAAAAAACCAAAAAATATTCACCCACTATAACAGGTTGTCTCATCTTTGCTTTCAAGCAAAGTCACATAGCAATCACAAGGATACCAAACTAATTGCCTCTGATCAAATCAGAGAAATTTTTAATGCAATCTTATGATTTCCTTTAATCATACTTGATCTCTCAAGATCTTTCTTTAAGAATCTCGCGAGGCTAAGGTTGTCAGGTGGAACAACATTTCTGTTTATCACCTTTTGAAGCCATTTCTGAAACATCACAACAGAATTTCACTTCTGTGATTCCAGAAAATAAACTTAACTCTTAGAAAATCCCTTAGATGGAAATTTAATTCAAAACTAGTCTCACCATTTAACCTAGAATCGAACATGGTCAGGAATGTTCCCAAGAAGACTGGAGGGGTCACATCGGTCCCACTTAAAACCCAGTTAACCTTTTGACAAAACATTCAGGAGCATGTTGACTCATAGTCCATAGGAAACAATTTAAAAATTAAGATTTCCAGAAGATAAAACAAGTTATAACAAACCGATTCCCAAGCAAATAAAATTTGCTACCAGAATTACACCACTCATAAAAGTTAACCGGTACTCCCGGAACTAAGCCCATTATTTCTGAATAAAATCAAAAATATTTTAGCTAATGCTAAAATTTGGTTTCCTTTCTCAAAACCAAAACACTTTGGACATAATTAGATTATAACCAAAGACTTTCTCCAAATTTGGTTTTCCAACACTTTGGGAATAAAATGATTAAACCCAAAGACTTCCTCAAACTCCAAAGGTTTGAAACCAAATCCAACTTAGTTGTCATTTCTAAACAAATAAGAACTACTCTTTAGCCAAAGCTAAAACTTTGGTTTCTATCACAGAAAACCAAACCAAGTTCCAAACTTACAAACAATTTAAAAAATTGCTATAACAATTACACGCATATAAAATGCTTCTAACAAAACAAGAAAATAAAATCTGCTACCACAAATTGATAAACAAACCAACTACATCTCAAGCAAAAAACATGCTTCAAACATTTAAATAAAATAGCCAATCCATAAGGATTCTATTTAGTCCAAAAGCTTTTCCACACTTATTCCTATTCAACACAAATGTTAGTAGTCCAAACATTTTTGTTTTTACATCCCAAATACTATTCATTTGGTTTTATATTTGTTTTTCGCATTGGTATCCCTACAAAGAAAGTTAGTAGCAAACCACAACAAAATACAAACAAATAATCTAAAAAATTTAATTATAATAAATAATTGAAACCATCTAGCCAACTATTAATTATATAAGTAACCAACTAATATAAGGTACCAAAACAAAATACAATTTGTAACTTCAAAATTAAATTACAACTTTAAAATAAAGTTCAATACTCATGAGTCATGAATGAAATTAATTCATAATAAACATTTAAACTAATAACTCCAAATAGATAAGTCAAATTCAAAGTTAATGCACCTATTTAAATAATTCAGATTAATGCACCTAATTAAATAATTCAGATTAATGCACCCGAATAAATAATTTAGATTAATGTACCCAATTAGATAATTTAGATTAATGCACCCAATTAAATAATTCATATTAATGCACACAATTAGATAATTTAGATTAATCATGTACACAATTCATAAAACTCTATAACTCCAAATATATTAAATTATGTAATCTAGCCTAGAAAATAATAAGCATATAACAAATTGAGACTAGAATAGAATTAGCATGTCAAAATTACAACATCCATAAATTATATTTTATAACCTTAAAATTCATGCAAATCATGATAGGGAAATGATGAACCATACGCATAAAACAAGATCATACTAATACAATTAAGTATGCAAATTATAATAGAGCATTCTAATTAAGCTAAGCAATTAGAGAGTACCATTGCATAATTTACAATTATTGAAATAATGAGCAATTCCGCAACAATTCCTAGTAACATTATACAAAGCTAACCTAATAGTCTGTATAAATCTATTCGATCAATTTCATAGAAAAGATATATAAAATCTGTTTTAAGCTTGTTGTTCAAAATTGTGAAATTAAATAAATAGATTTATGAAGAAAACAAATTATATACCAAGAATATATGCTGATAATTACAATTAAATTTCAACAGAAATACACAAAACAATAAAAGGGTAAAGAGACGAAACCGAAGTTTGCACGGAAGCAGTTTTCTTAAAACAGATTTCACCACCTCACGGGTCGAGTGCTTGAGGAAACCCGGCGCCTGTCTCCCAGGATACGACGATCAAAACCAGCTACGGCAGAAGCACTTTCTGTCTAGCTTAGCGAACAAGAACAGTGGCAATATTCTCTTAATGTAGGAACTTTCTGGCAAACTGACTTGTAAAATGGAAGCAAAAAATTTCTATATTGAAACTTGACAGGAGGGTCTCAATTTATACATGTATAGGAGAGAGAGGAAAAGCCTCCAACCTTTAAGGCTAGTCATTAAAACACCAAGCATCCATAGCCCCTTTCCACAAAAAGAAAAGTATGGATGCCCAAAGGATTCACACCCTTTAGCCAAGAAAAAAGATTTAAATACTCTTTAAAATCCTATTCATGAATCTAACATCATGAAGCAATTTCTTGGCAATTTCTTATTCAAAACCCAATGGTTTTTGGCTCACTTGGACCCAACACAAAAAATGGTTAGAACCCACTTTAATATTTAATTAAAGTCCCCAAAAATCATTTTTTCCAACAGTTTTCTGAACAAATAATAAATGTTCGGTTACCGGTTCCTAAACAAATAAACAATGTTCAGACCTGTGTTCCCGAATTTCGATCATATGTTCAGAAGTTCAATCCTGAAAAAATGACAAACATATTTTATTATTTTTGTCATTTTTTTCAAAAACTCACCCTTACAAGGCCAATCTTTTATCAATTAAAAATAATATCAAAGCTATGAACCTTCTTTAAGTTTTTATTGTTGTACTCCTCTCGTTTTATGGAGTTATGGTTGCTAAAAAAACTTTCACTGATTATTATTGCCGAAAAAGTGTAGGTAATCAAACAGATGCCACCGTTATCGCCAGAATATTGCTGTCAAAGGGTTTTCAAGGTTTTGAGGGTGAGTAAGTTTTGAAGGTGAAATTTGAAGAAGATGGATGGATGGTGATGGAGGTGAGTGCTCTCATAAATCATAATTCATGATGTAGTGGGTGTGCAAGTTTAATTGTGAGATGCAATATTCCAAAATTAATGATGTCCTTTGTAGTAATTTTATTTGATGTTATTATTATAATAAAAAAAATTAAAAATTGAGAGATCCAAAATAATTTATGTAGTGCTAATAGCAGCACTCAAAACAAATTGTTAAATAATCTCATATTATTGCATAGTGTTCTTAGTTAATGAAAAATTACAATATACACTGAGTGAATCATTTCTTATTTTCAAACTACTACTTAACAATAGTGAGTCATCATATGCTTATTAAAAAATTTACTGCATTTTGCAAGGCAACAGAGTACTCTGAAAAAATCCAAACAAATTGTTTTAGTTCTGAAATTTGCATTAGATTAACTTGAACTAATTTGAAAATTGATCATATGAATCTAAACAAAAGTGAAGTAAACTAGAGTTTGATTTATTTATTTATTTTTATTATAATTTATTTCACGAGTTGATTGTCCAAACTCAACATACATACCTTCTCCAAAAAAAAAAAAAAAAAAAAAACAAACAAACAAACAAACAACATACATATCATTCCACTTCTTGACTTATTTTGTGTTGCTTGTACTCATCACTAGTTATATGAATGGAACCCTGTATGGACATTGAATCGTGATACGGATGGATATCAAATTTGTGTGGGAAAATATAAAGTAAATACGTTTTTTTTTTTTTTTTTTTTTAACTTTCTATTTTTTTCTTTAAACACAGCACAAGAATAACAACATTGGTAAACTTTGTAAAAAGGAAGATTATCTTAGTGGATCCTTTTCTTTTCACACAGGCCAACCTTCACATCACAAAGAGGCATTTTGAATTTTCTATTGAAATAACCCCCAAAAAATATGAAAATCTAAACAATGATGGAATAATATCAATAGTCATTCTAAATCCATTCCAATGTTTGTTACATTGCTTATGACCAGCTCTAGTTGCACCACTAATCCAGTAAAACTGGCACAATCTTAAGAGGAACAATATATTGGATGTTAATTAAACCTTTTGTATAGTAGTACTATAGTGGCCCCGTTTAGTAGAGTTGTAAAAAAGTGATTATAACTTATAGTCTAACAGCTTATAGCTTATAGCTGTGAACATAAGCTAATTTTTTACTTATAAATTAAGCTTCTCCTCCCCTACTCAAAGAATAAATTAATTTTTGACTTACAAAAAACTATAAGCTGTACTGTTAACCTGAACCAAACACATCAAAATAGCTTAAATTAAGCTGAAAATAAGCCCTACCAAACAGGCCCAGTGAACATTACATGCACCAAAGAGCTATGGCCTTTCAGGATGTTCCTCCACTGAATGCCTCATAGGACTTTTGCAGTTCCCTGCAGCAACAACAATCAAATGAAAGGGAAATAATGAAACACATTCTCCACATATTAGCATACTAATTCTAATAGTAACAAAAACCAAGACAGACACCCAAATGGTGAATTTACGTCAAATTCATCACTCCTGTGGGGAAGCCAAAGTTCATTCACCTCCGATGAGAGAGAGAGAGAGAGACCTAAAATATAAACACTCAGAAGAATGATTTCATTTGATAAGGATGCATCTGGTCGGTGAGCCCTCGGCGCCAAGCAACCTTAGAGGTAAGCAATGGACGGAATATATTCCCACTTGGATATCATCAAGTTTCAGGCATTCCACAATAATGATATCCTGAAGCATTTTAATGGTGTCAATATTGATACTATCTCTTCTCTAATAAAATCAAAATAACAAATTCTCTTAAATCCAAGCAACAATAAACCAAAAATTGTACATGATAGAACATAGATAACAACATATATCAGAAACTTGATTTGAAATTGCGTCACCTGTTGGTTAATCAATGAAAATATATATATATATATATATATCTCCACAAGATACCATTTCATTATGTGAGCACAAAGAAAGAAGAAAAAAAACAAGTTAAATTACACTAAATTAATTATCAGCTCTCATAATCTGACCTCATAACATTGATCTAGAGCATAGTGTCACGGACTTAGACTTCGCAAGCCTACCGTACGGCCTTAGATGCCTCTCAACCCTCTTAGTTGCACCTAAGTCAGCCTTACCCACTCAACCACACTAACACACACAGTTTAGGTGGAAGAATGCCACTCAACCACACTAACACACACAGTTTAGGTGGAAGAATGCCTTCACTATACAAGTTAACTTTTACAAGTATAGTCGTGTACAAAGCTTACAAGGCTCTCACACTCACACTCACAAGTGCTTCACTCTTAGAGCTCTCTTGGATCTCCAGGTCTCTAGGTGCCTAGCAAATGAGATCCCTCACCCTTATATAGCCATACCCCTCCTCAATGGATGGCTAGTATTACTTTGATCCAAGGGCTACAAACTCTCATCTAGAACATTCCATAGAACTATCTAGGACAACTACCCTATCTACTACAATCTAAAACTCTCTTACACTAGTGTAGTGCATGGTAGGCTTCTCCAGGATAATCTAGGATGTTCCAGACCCATCCAGACTCTTCTGGACACTCCAAGGTTCTTCCACATTCCGGAATCTTCCAGGCCACTCCGGACCCTTCTACCACATTCTAGAGTCTTCCAGCATACTCTAGGTTGGTCTCCCTCATTCCGGAACCTTCCAGCGCCTTCAGCATATTGCCCACGCTACTCCTTGTGTCACATAAATTGTCGGGGCGTGACAATAGGAACATCAACAGAGACCCTCACTACAAGAAAAAACACTTTTCGTGACCAACATTTTGGTCGCGAAAAGTACCATATTTGGTCGCTAAAACCTTTTCGCGACCAAAATATGTTGGTCGCGAGTTGGTCGCTAAAGCCTCGTCACAGATAGTTTTCTGCGACTAAAAAAGCCTTTGTCGCTAAAAGTGACCATTCGCGACCAACTTTTTTGGTCGTGGAAAGTCCAATTCATATTAGCCAAAAGTAAACTTTTAGCGACCAAAGATAAATTAGTCACCAAAAGTCAGCACCTTGACCCAAAAAAAACAATTCTTTTGTGCTCCCTGGGACTTGAACTCCTGACCAAGGAGTCACCATGCACCCAATCCACTCTGCCACTCTGCCAATAACATACTTCTTGTTCATATTTGGCAAAAAAAATATATAACCCATAAAAATTGGGTTATATATTATTTTATAAAACTTTTAATGCCTAAATAGAAAAATAGCATGTAATTACTGTAATATCATTTTTTTTTAAATTTATCCCGCCATAACTTTCCGTGACCAACCCTTTTTTTTGGTCGTCAAAGGGTAATCTTCCGCGACAAAAAAAGCCTCTGGTCACCAATAGTATACTTTCCGCGACCAACTTTTTTTTTTAGTCGCCAAAAGGTGATTTTTCGCGACCAAAAAAGCCTTTGGTCGCCAATAGCATACTTTCCGCGACCAACTTTTTTTTTTGGTCGCCAAAGGGTAATCTTCCGCGACCAAAAAAGCCTTTGGTCGCCAATAGTATACTTTCCGCGACCAACTTTTTTTTTGGTCACCAAAGGGTATACTTTCCGTGACCAACTTTTTTTTTGGTCGCCAAAAGGTGATCTTCCGCGACCAAAAAAGCCTTTGGTCGCCAATAGTATACTTTCCGCGACCAATTTTTTTTTTTTGGTCGCCAAAAGGTGATTTTCTGCAACCAAAAAATTGTAGTCGCCAAAAGTTAAATTTTAGTCGCAGAAAGTGGACTATTTGCGACCAAAAAAAATAGGTGGTCGCCAAAAGTGTTTTTTCTTGTAGTGCCTACTGGGGTATTGAAATAGCAACTGTTCCTTTGTTTTAGCACTATTGGAGTCAGAATGGACATTTACTGAAAGTGAAACACAAACTTCAACACAATGGAAATAGATTTCCTTACCCTGCCTTCTAGGAAAACAAGATGAGGAGAAAGCAAATCAGTATAGGCAGCAACAGTTAAGTAATCAACCCCTGTAATTACGAACAAACAGATGGGTCAGTGAGACCATTATTTTGGCTAGTTTACAGCAAAGAAATGTAGAAATTCTCAATCAATATGGGTGTCCACTAAAATTATCTCACCATGTGAAATTCTAAGCCATTTGATGATGTCGCGCGTGAATTCGGATGCCATTCAATTAATACATAGCAAGTCAATGTAGAAACACATCTTTTTTTTCTCTTTTCTTTTTTCTTTTTTCTTTTCTTGGATAGGTAAAAGAAATAGGTCTCAAACTTGAGTCTCTTTATTGGGAAATGTGGCCTAAGCCGTCGAGGTGTCCCTACACACCATCTTTTAATGGGGATCATTTGGGAAAATGTCATCTAAAGAATGATGTTTAAAATCTAGTAGTTTTTCATTTCAAGGAAACCTAAAATGACCATGTAACAAGAAATATGCTGGAAATCTTTTTCTTTTTCCTTCCTTCTTTTTTTTTGGCTCCCTACAAAGTGATGGATGTCTACATTAAAATGCAACATATATTCTCAATGAGACCATTCAAATTCCAGGAAATGCCGAACAGGTCCTAGTTGGGCTCAATGTTACAACATTCTAAGACATTATTGATAACAATTTCACTTCTGGATGAACTTAAAGAATTTAGATTTTGTTGAATTAGAAATATGCCAATTAATGGGTTAGCACCCAACTCAACTGCTAAAACAATCTATTTTTAAACTAAACAACGGAGAACACGACAATCTTGAGTAATCAAACAAATAAATTGGCCTTTAGATTGTAATTTTGCAAACTTCTCTCATTATGGTTTTCTACAAATAGGTCACACATGTTGAACATACAAGTCAATCAGAATAAAAACTTGTCGTGCTTCTATTTCTCAACTGCAGAAAGTTATTCCTGGTGCAACTCGATCAAAAAAAATCAAACAATTTGAGCATGCATCACATGTGACATATAAATGCAAGTCTCTAATAGAGATTGAACTACAAATTACACATACCATATCCATTATAGTTATGGACAGAATTATTACAGCCAGTATGCAGCATATTCAAGATACTCAACAAGTAATTTAGGCAAGAATCCGAGTGTCCTTGCCACGTAATTCTCAACCAACAACTAGACTGGCTGCATAAATGTGTTTAGCTATACTAGTGGGTGTCCTTACCAACAAGTTTGATGTCAGTGTTCTCCACCAACCACTGTGCCCCATCTTTTGTGAATCCCACATAGCTTGTGTCAAACTCCTTTTTCCACATAAGTCGTCTGTAAGTAATACATAATTTAGCTCATTAGTGCAGCAAAACTTCTGCCCTTGAATTGGAGTATACAAAAAGGGTGACCAAACATTGAAGTAGTAACAAATAAGGTGGTCAACAATTCTGCAGAGCAGAAAGTACAGTACAGGAAACAACCATCTGTTTAACATCACATATTTTATGCAGACTTTCTTTTTTAACTTCTTTTGATTTTTTTTATTGTCACATATTTTACGCAGACTTTCTTTTTTAACTTCTTTTGATTTTTTTTTATTGTCAGTTGTTAGCTGTTAAATTAGCACCCTGGGTGAGTTGAACCCCCAACCTCACCCTTGCAAGCACCTAAGAGTTGCACCCATGTCACTAGGCCAGAAGGCCATCAGCGCTTGATTTTGACTATTAATACTGATGTATACCTTATTATTTAACCAGGATTCTAGGAATAAAAACATCACCCAACAGGCTGTGGCATACCTCATGAACCATATATTCCCTTTGGGATTCTTAAATTTGAGCCTAAAAAGGCTATCTCTACCAATATCTCCTATAATTTCATAGAGTTCAATAAGTTTTTCTGGGTGTCTACTATGTCCATATACACTTGAATTGGAGCAGACTAGCACTAGTAAGACTGTTGAAAGCAGCAACACATCTGTAGCCACACAGGCTCAGCTGAAACAAACTTTTAGAATGTCACTAGCATTAGGCTTTCAACCAAATATGGAACTTCAATAAAGACTATTGTCCATGCGACTCGCCTTATTTTTCTATATTAAATTCTTACATGAATTGTAATAAAGCATTCTCAGTTAACCTCATATAGTCAAAAATGATAACATGGACCAATTGAATTCATTTCCACAGCAACTTTCAGTGGTATTATATGTCCAACTGAAACAATTTCGTTCCAAATCAACATAGTTGACAAGTAGTAAATACCCCAGAACTCAAGACTTCCTTGAAGAGCATAACCGAAACATGGTCCACACATACGATCATTCTGCAAAACTAAATGTCATGTATTTACCTGTCAGTGTTTAATGTTCTGAAAAGCACACGACGTACTCCCATGGGAATATGTAAGGATTTCATAACTTCAGCTGTGAGAGAGAGAGAGAGAGAGAGAGAGAGAGAGAGTCATAATTTAATCACGCAATTTTAGAAAAACATGGAGAACATTAAATACATAATAGCTACTCTATAAAGTAAACCTGGACAAGCACTTATCAGAATGCCCCTTATTGTTAAGTGAGTATTTATATGAGATGGTGAGTAAATTTACAATTATATATATAGGCATTATATCATTCAGCAAGCATTTGTTTAAATGAGGGACCTTCTATGTGAAACTTTTTGACTGTTAACTTTCACAATAAATTCCTATCAGTAAAGGGCTATGGCCAAAATCCCCTTTGTATTATTGTTGTCCAACATTATTGCTTTCAATCTCTTTGCTAAGAACCCAAAAATCTTAACAATTAATGTGTATTATTCAAATGATAGAGCAAGCAACAACGAGGTGGAAAAAAGGCATGTTTCCAATCATATGCAAAGAAAAATACTGCAAATGGCTACCAGTTATGCTCTTGTCTCTTAGAAACATCAACAAATTATAGAGAAGGAAACAAGGAAAGTAAAAAAGAAAAAAGAAAAATTGTTTTCAATCAAATGTAAAGCAATGTACTGTAAATGGATACCAGTTATATTCTCGTCCCTTGGAACATCAACTAACAAAGCTGGACCTGTTAAAGCAAACAAATTTAAACATCAAATAACAAATAAATAAGCATACATGTAAGTACTATACTGCAAGAAGAAGAAGAAATATTAGAATAAAAAGTTTGTAAGAACAATTATCTTTTCATGATATTCTTTAACTTCAATTAAAGACCTCCAGAGTTTTCAAAGGGTTGCCAATTATTTACTCTTCCCAGTGGACCTCATAACATAATGTCAAGTGGTGTTACTTGTTAACTGAGTGCAACATAAAGTCACCAACCACAAAGAGATCAAAAACAGGAAAGTTGAGGAAAAGGTAGGACTCAAAATAAAGCTTAAGTTTTCTCCATAAAAAAAGAAATACATAAGACACTACATAACGATTCCTCTCAAAGATTAAAAAGCACCTCTTTGGAAACAACCAACCCTAAGACTCAGTTGTCAGGATCTCATTTAAACATTGTACCCAAAATAGTAAAATCATCCAAAGTATAAAATAATAGGAATGGATTAATTAAAAAATAATAATTTTCTTCACTTTCCTTACCAAACCAAAGCACAATCCTATGTGCATTAATGGATTTCAACCTAACCAAAAAAAAAAATTTGATATCATTCTTTACCTCCCAATGGCACAATTTTCTCAATAAGAAAAGTAATTCCAAAAAATCTCCAACCCATCCTAGTGACTATAATTTACAAGAAAAGCATTCAAAATTTTAGTTCCTCTAGTGCTTTTTCCATGTAATTGCAACTTCAAGGGTCATTCCCATACCCTTAAGGCGAGCATAAAAACTTCCATTGCCACCCCTCCACTAGCATTTTCCATGAAGTCTTACACATTTTTCATACTTTAGTTTCTAGACCCACCTCTCAAATTTCAAGATTTGTTGAGAAAATCAAGTGTTCCAGAAAATGATGAACTTTAGTAAGAGCATATTTAATAGACTCCTATTAGTTGCGGAATCACTAAAAAACAGGCCAAGTTGATTTGATATTCAAAATATACAATGGCCATCTAAGAGTAGTTACTTACTAACATATCCACAGGACCCTGACCATCAACGTCATAAGACTTCTTAAAAACATAAATTCAAAAAACAAATTGCTTTACAAAATTTACATAATAAATTAATCAAGCTAATAAAACAATTGGCCAAACAATGACAAAAGAGCACTGTTGACCAATTTAATACCATTGAGTACTTCACTGGCAAGAATATCCCATCAAACAAATGTCCCAGTGCATCAACACGAATACCATATGAACAGGTCATTTCATGATAGATAAGTTACTATATGAACCATTCTTCATGCTCATAGAAAGTGAGAGAAACTGTCCAAACCCCTCAAAGCCCCCAAAAAATGTTTTAGGACTGAACCTATGCGTAAGCTAAAAAATTCTTCAATTGCCATAAACTTCCCTTCTCAAAGAAACCAATTTCCCACCCATTACACTCCAACACCATACCCAAATGGATAAGCATCATTAGTTAATCTCACAGTGCCAGAGAGAACATGACACTTATCATACTCAAGAACACATGTATAGATGTATGATCACAAGTTACATATCCTCAAGAATAAGGAAGATATCTTGTTTCAAAAAATTATATTAAATTAAAAAAAAAAATGGCCACATTGTGAGAGTATCTTTCACAAGCATCCAAAGATGCTCTGCTTTGGCCTAGAAAATAACATATGACTAAGAAATTCAACTCAATCGTTTCATCAAACATATACACTACTTTTGGTAACTTAGGAGAGAAAAAAAATAAAAATAAAAAAATTGGTAAGATATAAGAGAAAAAGAAAATATTGTGAATTCTTTCCATTTTATTTGGATAGATAAGACAGAATGAAAAAAAAAATGATATTGATTTCTCTCTTATCTTTTTTGGTCAAACTACATAAAAGAAAAGAATAGAAATGGTATGATATTTTATTACCAAATTAACCTTTTTATAGGTGTTAATCTTTTTGTTTGTTCTATATCTAAAAGTCGGAGTTTTGGTGTTATAACAAAATAATATTTAGTTGGTTTCATTTCTCTCCAATTCTCTCCACTTTTGGAGAGATTAAAAATAGAGATTATGAGATAAATGTGTTTCTCTCAATTTCTCTCATATTTGGTAATCCAAACAAGGGATTGAAATCAATTTTTCTCCATTTTTTTTCTTTTCTCTCCAACTCACTCAAACCAAACAAAGTGTAGCCATATATCTGTACTTTGGTCCATTATAATTTTAATTGACTCGATTTTAAACTAAATTTATGACCTTAACCCAAATTTACCCAATTAAATACAACTCGCATTTTTTTAAATGAAAAATACGTAATTAAGTGCCATGTTTAGTGTACAAAATTTGAAATTAAGGGTTGATTTGGGATTCTTCTTTTTTTTTTTTTTTTTTTAGCCTGGCTAAAAAGTTTAGTTTGGGAAGGATTTTTGACTTTTTAATTTTTTTGACTTTTTTTTATGAGAGAATAGTGCAATGATTATGAATTGAATATGATGTTTTATTTGTTGTGGCTAAAATAATATATTTTGTCTTTGTGGCTAAAATAGCCGCAAACCATCTTCCCAAACGGATCATAAGGATCAAAATTAGGCTAAAATCATGACTACTGTGATCGATGATTACCGTTGAGTAGTCCAAGATCAAGAGAATCGGCATCGAAGCCGGCATCGAAGTAACGATCGGAAACGTGACCAGGCGCATCGACGTGCGTGCCGGTGTGAATCGGGAGCTTCATTTCAGAGTTATTAGTGTACGAGCCGTTCTTCATGCTCTCCGAAAGCCATAGAAACTGGCCGAGACCATCTTTGGAGCCCCAAGCTGGCATGTCGGGTCTCAACCTGTGGCTGATATCGAAGATTCTTCCGCCATCGTACACTTCTCTTCTCTGAGGTTTCAGGTCCTCGCCGCCGTTGGCGGAGGGGCAAGCGGCGTCAGATGAGGCGAGGGCGACGGTTAGGATTGTGAGAAACTCGGAGCATGTTAGGAGAATCCATGGAGACTTCATTGCCGCGATCAGAGATTTGGACAGAGATTTTGTTTTTCTTTTTTAAGATTTTTTTTAGGGTTTTTTTTTTTATTTACTTAATAAGTGAACTTATTAACTATTACGCCTTATGAAAAAAAAAATTATCATAAAAAAATTATTAATCGTAAATTTTAACGATAATTTATAAAAATTATGATAAAAAATTATTAATTGTTAATTTTTAGTGATATATATAAAAAATTATCACAAAAAAATTATTTTCAATGATAATTTTATTAAGACTTATTTTTAATAAAATTTAATAAAAATTAAATTCAACTATTGAGACATATTGATAATTTAATTAATTATTAATCGTAAATTTTAACGATAATTTATAAAAATTATGATAAAAAAATTATTAATTGTTAATTTTTAGTGATATATATAAAAAATTATCACAAAAAAATTATTTTCAATGATAATTTTATTAAGACTTATTTTTAATAAGATTTAATAAAAATTAAATTCAACTATTGAGACATATTGATAATTTAATTATATTTAAAAATATTAAAAATTTCTCATAATTAAAACAAAATATAAATACATAAAATAAAATAAATCCTCATAACTGCTGGGTAATAATTATCCTTGTAATAAAGCTAAAACCTCTCACATACAACCGTTATTTTGACCCCATTTATTAATTAATTTAAAACAAAACGCCCCACGTACAGCCGTTTTTGTTCTTGACCATGACGTTCTGTGACGTGTGAAGGTTGTAAGCACCGACACAGCCAATGTCAAACGTGAACACAACAATGGGTTCGCCTTGGAATTAATAATTTTATAGTCAGTTTTTAATTTTTTTATTAGAAAAAGATGTATAAAAAAATTAAAAATATAAGTTAAGCTTTGTAATGACTCTTTAATTTCGTCTTCTTCTCACATAAGGCCATGATATTCATTTATATTAGGGGTGCAATTTGAGCGGGTTTAATCTAAATAATTTAAACTTAATTTGAATTTTTTAAGACTTAGACAAGATATTTTTAAATTTGGTACGCGTTTGGGTAAAGACATCAAACAACCAAGTAACCCGAAACCCGAATTATACATATATAGATATATAAAAATATTAATTATATATAAAAATTATTATCTATTACATGATATTAAAGTAAGTTAGATTATTAAATCATATTGAACTTATATTATATATACAAATAACATAAAATCTTGTTCTTTTTTTTTCACTCATAAATTGTAAAAACTACTATAACGACATCTCTCTTACATTATATAAATTATTTATTTTGATGGTATTAATGATTTTCCATATATATAAAAAAAATATAAATAGAGTCAAATTTTGATAATTTAATAATGTAGCTAAAAAACAAAATACAATTTAGGCAACTTGGGCAATTTGGATTTAACTTGGGTTGGGCTTGGGCAGACAATCTCGGGTTACAATTCGGGCTTTGGTGGGCTTGGGCAGATCTCAGTACAATTTGGGCTAGGCTTGGACAACCTCTCTACCCGCCCAAACTTGCTCGAGTTGCATCCCTAATTTATATATATCAAAATATTTATATATATATATGCAAAAATCACGAAATTATCATTGATTGAACATAAGTGTCATAATATTTTGAACCCGTATAAATAATTTTTCTTTTTTATTTTTTATTTTTAAGAAACTTTTCAAATTTAAAAAATAGCTTATGTAGAATTCTTTTTTGCACTGAATCGATTGGAAAAAAAAGTTTCTATTTTGGCCTCTTTTGGTAATTAGATTAAAAGTCAATTTATTAATTTTTTAATTTTTTTAAATCACATTACTTCTCTGTTTTTTTTTGTGCATGTTTTCTTTAAAAAAAATCAATAAAAATTAAGAAGTCAATTTTTAATTTACTTCCCGAAATACGCTATGATGACTAGAAAAATCACCTCCTTTTTTTTTATGATTCATAGAACAATCACCTTTTAACATATCTTACATATCATTTTAATGTAGTTTTAGGACACATTTTGTCATATTTTAATTTGGTATTTATAAGAAATTATTCAGTTTATTAGATACCTGATGTGCACATTCAATTGTCTAATGTCATAACTATTTTTTTCTTAATTTTTTTCTTATGTTATATATATAATAATTGTGTGTTCTCTTGTTATAAGGTGAATAACAAGAGAGATATCAGTTGGTGAATTGGGAGAAATTAGGAGCAGCTTGCCTCCGGTCCTTAATCGGACTGGACGGTTCTGTTCGGCCTGTGGGGGTCTACTACGGGTTCCATTTTGATAATTCAAACCGTTCAATATGTAGAACTCGTCGAGTACTATATACTTGAAAAAAATCACGTTGATCGGATATCGATAGCTACCTCATCTTATCAGTTTTTTTGTCAATCGTTAATTTGTTCACCGTCTATTTTTTTATGCAAAATTGATTTAATCACATAACTATCAATATTCAATCAACATGATTTTTTATAAATATATAATACTCAACAAGTTCTACACATTAACAGTTTGGATTATTAAAACGGGACCCGTGATGAGCTCCCACAGACCGAACAACACCGTCTAATCTGATTAAGGACCGGAGGCAAGCTGTTCAAATTATTATGGGTTGTTTGAGTAATTTTAAGTGATGTTTCAAATTAATAATTATTAGTCTAAGTAATTAAACTCATTTTACTTTGGTAATGCTAGGATACCAATTTTTTTACTAAACAAATGATCAAATATCTCACATAAGTGTGAAGTCTGCAATTTTTTGAACCCCACACCTATATGAGACATTTAGGGTTGGTTTGGCAACGGCTCATTGGGCTTTTTTGGCTCAATGAGCCATAAAAGACAGAATAGGCTCATGAACCACAACAGACAAAACATCCCATCTAACCCCATAATCATTACACTCTTCTCTCACAAAAAAATCAAAAAAGCCAAAAAGTCAAAAGCCCTTCCCAAACTAAGTTTTTGAGCCCAGGCTCATATAGTCAAAAAAGCCAAAAAGCCAACCCACTTCCCAAACGGAGGCTTAGCCATTTGTTTGGTAAAAAATTTGAGACCTATAGCATTTTTTTTTTACTTTTGTAAAGTTTTATGTGACAATTTATAAGGCGTCAATTAATTAATAAATTAATAATAAAAATATTATTCTAATAACACTGAATGATTTCTTATGAATTAAGCGAAGCATTCTTAAGAGCATTTCCAACGGTTCACCTAATTTTTCACCAAATCTGAGTAAAAAAATGACCATTTTTTCAATCTGATTCAGAATGCTCAAATGGTTGATTTTCATCAAATCTGCTCCAGGGACAACCGGTTGGTCGACCGGTAAGGCAAAAACTTTTTTTTGGAATTGTTTGAATCTACCTATTTGAACTGTTTGAACCTTTTAGTGGTCAACCGGCCGGTTGACCGGTAAGGCAAATATATATATATATATATATATTTTTTTTTGAATTGTTTGAACCAACCTATTTGAACTGTTTGAACCTTTTAGTGGTCGACCGGTTGGTTAACCGGCCGGGAAACCGGCTGGTTGACCGGTTCCTCTCCTCCAACGGTCACAAACAGTAATTTGCTGAAATCTGTATCCTGTTCTCAATTTGATGATTTTTTTTGTTCAATTCTCAATTTGATACCAGTTTGGTGAAATCGTTGGAGCTTCAAAAAGTGTCTTTTCACCAAATTTCAAATTTGATGCCAGGTTTGGTGAACCGTTGGAGATGGTCTAAACACCTAAAAATTATTCCTCGCGGGTGGCAATACGACAACTGCATCGTAAGTCCACCAAAATAGTTGTGATACATTTGTGGTGTTGCTATTTATTTATTTATTTTTGATAACTCAGGGTGTTCGGGTCAGTTTACGCGCACCTCGATTAATTCTTGGGGGACCAATCCCACCGTCTACTAGCGGAGGGTCCATTTAAAGCCAGAGTAAATCTCTGTATGGATTGACCCAACACAAGAATTGATAGCACGTAAGATGTTTTGAATGTGACGTTGCTACTTAAAGACAATAAATACTTATATGTATTGGTGATTAGCAAATAAGATTTGTTTTAACAACTCGGTTAAAAGTAATTTTTTGATTTTCTTGAGTTACATTATTTTTTTTATAATTTTTTTCAAAAAAAGTCAAAAAAATAAAAATAAAAATTTAACGTACTTTCCAAAATAAGTTTAGATTAATTGATTAATCAATTGGACTAGCTCACTCATGCACTCGTTTGAGAAATTAAAGATCAATCTGTATTGAAAAATTCTACTATACATAACTCTTGAAAAGAGTGTATCACATATATTTTTAGTTATGTTAATTTTTTTTAGTTATGATAAATTTTATTCTTTACATATGATAATATTTTAGTTATAACTCATTAAATCTTTAATTATAACTCATGTAATATTTAATTATAATTTTTTTTTAATAATTATAAGTCAAAAAATATAAATTTATAAAAAAATTTTAATTATAAAATGCATATAACATACATCTTTTAGTCTTTTCCTGATATATAACACGCATGGAAAAATATATAAACTTTTGAAAAATAATTTATAAAAAAAAAAATATTCAAAATTTGATTCTAGAATATCCATCCACAAAACATATCACATCGATAAGCCTCCATTTATAAAATAATACTTTACGCAACACTTTATAAAATTTATTTTAGACAACACTTTATAAAATTTATCACCCAAGATTACCACAACACTTTACATAAAAATTATTAATAAAACTTATTAATTGTACAACACTAATAAAAAAATTTCCATTTTCTTCCACTAATATCTACGCAAGCAAAAACCCAACATTTATTGTGTATATTATATTATTATATATTACTACAAACATGGAAAATATAAAAGGGTAATGGTAGGGACACTAAATTTTCTACCAAACAAATGACCAAATGTCTCACATGGGTGTGGGGTCCGCAATTTTGTGGGCCAAATTTCCATTTTCTTCCACTAATATCTACGCAAGCAAAAACCCAACATTTATTGTGTATATTATATTATTATATATTACTACAAACATGGAAAATATAAAAATAAAAATTAAAACATTGACCGTAACTAAGACATTGGTTTTCCACCATAGACTCGCCGGCAAATCGACGTTGGTTTCTGCGATTTCGAACAAAGCTGCGAAGCAATCGGACAACTCTGCAGACAGTTGTCCCCCAAGCTGCCGGAAAGTGACGTCACGCCGGAGAAGAACCCCTTCGGCGGCGTCCCATTCAAGAAGTTCCCATCAAGAAACAGCCTCTTCAGCGACTGTTTCTTGCTGAATTCCCACGGGATTGGTCCACGTAACCGATTGTATCGCATCGAGAGAGACGATAACAGAGGATAAGCGGAGAAATTCGTGGATAAATAGCTTCCTATCGCGTTGAAACTCAGATCAACGGCGATGAGATCGGTGTTGGGGTTTATGGGTTTCCAGATCTCGACAAGTGTCAAGTTGTTGTTGGCCAAATCGACTTGTTGCAGAGAAGGTAGGAGGAAGAACCAGCTTTGTAGTGTTCCGGAAATGGAGTTTTCGCTGAGTTCGACGACCTCGAGCTGAGTCAACCCGTCGAAAGAAAATTTATTGAGAGACCCAGATAGAGAATTGGCCTTTAAAGCTAGTTCTAGCAAGTTCAATGGAAGTTTGGGGATTGAACCAGTGATTTTGTTGTAGCTAATGTCGAGTCTTCTCAAACTGGTGAGTGAATTCAGGGTGTTTGGCAACGACCCAGAAAGCGAATTACGAGAGAAATCAAGAGATTGAAGGGATTTGAGATTGGAAATGGAGGGTGGTACAGAACCAGAGAAGGAATTGGATCGGAGTGTGAAGATTTGGAGGTTGGGGAGAGAGGAGAGAGAAGAGGGGATTGGGCCGAAGAAGTTGTTGTCAGAGAGGTCGAGGATGGTGAGTTGGGTGAGCTTGGAGATGAGGGGAGAGAGAGTGCCGGAGTAGGCGGCGGGGTCGAGGGTGAGTTGGGTGATTCTGGCGGCGGCGGCGGAGGTGGTGGAGCAGGTGAGGCCGCAGGTGAAGTGGGTGATGTGAGGAGAGGAGCAAGGGTCGGAGGTGAAGTTCCAGGAGGCTAAGCAGGAGTAGAAGGGAATTGAGGTGGGTTTGATTGAGGATTTGAAGGCTTGGAGGGCTGAGATGTCTGAGGGGAGAGTTGAAGATTGGACTAAGATGAGAGAGGAGAGAGAAAGATGGAGGAAGAGGAGGAGGAGGAAGAAAAGGTTAGGCATGGCGGGAAGAGAAGTTTGGGATCAGTGATGTTGGAGAGAGAGAGAGATGCTTAATTTTGAAGCATGTTAAGTGTGAAAGTAGGTCGGCTTGGTACTTTTCAATTTCAATAGTCTTCGTCCTCCAGTTGGACGCCACTTAGTCTCGTTTTAGAACAATTTATTTTAATAGTTTTTTAATTTTTTGATTAAAATATAAGGTAAAAAAATTAATATATTTAGGATAGTTTTTAAGTTTTTATGAAAAAATGTACAAAAAAAATAGAGAGAAAATAAAATTTTTGACTTTTTGATATAAAATTGTTGACTTTTTAATTTTTTTAGTAACTTTTTAACTTTTAGACTAAAACAATCACTTGCCAAATGAGGCCTAAATAAATAACTACTACTATTTTAAAAGAGTTAATTTAAACTCCAAATTTTTGTACGTGGATAGCATACCTATCATGAGGTAACCTTTACTATTGTGATTAACTTTGATAGTATTTGAAGAATGATAATTGACATGTATATTTGTGATTAGTGAAAGGTAATATCATGTAGTATCTTATTGATATACAAAAATTTCTCCTTTATTTGGCATTAATTATGATAATCAATTTTTTTATGTTAAAACTTTTTTAATTTGAATTTTTTTAGCCTTAGTTTTTTTTTTTTTTTTTTGAATTTTACAAGAAAAAAAGTGTAATGATTATGATTTGGATGTGACATTTTATCTTATTAACTTATATAGTCTATTTTGTTTTTTTGTGTTTTTTTAGTCCCAAAATGTTTACCAAATGAGGACTGTATCAGGATCCTCTAGGGTGTGTTTGGTAACGTTTACGTTTTCAATTTATATTTACAAAAATTTTATAAACTGACTTTTGTTTATTTTTAGAAAAACATAAACTACAAACGCGTTTGATAATTAACAAAATGTTTAAAAAAATTTAAAAATATAAAAAGAGTGAGAAATAGCAAATGGTGGTAAGTGGCGGCAGAAGACGGTGGTTGAAAGTGGTGACGGTGGGTGGTGGTGAGTGGGGGGTGATGATTAGGGGTTTGGGGGGGGGTTTGGTGAGTGGGGAGTGGTGGGTGTGGCGGGTGACGGTGGTGGTGCGGTGGGGTAGTAGCGGAAGTGAGATGGGGCTGGTGGTGCGAGGTGGCGGAGTGGTAGGTGGTGGTGCAGTGGAAGTGGTAGACGACGTGCTGTGGTAATGGTGGGGTCCGGAGTGGCGGTGTCGTCGTGGTGGTAATCGAGTGGGTGGTGGTGGTGGTGGTGGCAGGTGGGTGGCGGATGGTGGGTGGGTGGTGGTGATGGGTGGAGTGTCGTGGATGACGGTACAGGTGGTAGGTAATAGCAAATGCGGTGGTGGTGATGGTAGTGGTGGTGGTGTGTGGTGGATGATTGTTGGGTGGTGGTGGTGAGTTGGTGAGTGGTGGTGAGTAGCGGGTGGGTGGCAGGTGACTGGTGGTGGCAGGTGGTGGATGGTGGTGGGGTGGCGGGTGGCTAGGGTGGTGAGGTAGGTGGCTGGGTGGTGTGGTAAGTTAGGGTGGAGTGGGGTGGGGTGGGCGGGGATGGGATTGGTCGAGGGTGTGTGGCGGCTGGTGTGGTGGGATGGCAGGTGGGTGATGAGTGGGGTGGTGGTGGTGTGGTGGTGGTGGGCGCGGTGGCGAGAGGTGGCGTGGGTGGCGAGTGGCTGTGGCTGGTGGTTGGTGGTGGCTGGTGCAATTTGTTCGGTGGGAGGTAGGTGGTGGTGGCGAAAGACGATGGTGGAAAATGGTGGCGGGTGGTGGCTAGTGTTGGGTGGTAAAAAAAAAAAAACTCAAAACGGAAATACTTTTTTTGTGTTTTCATTTTTTGACCAAATTTATAAACTGAGACAACTGATTTATAAATCAAAAATTTTACCAAACAAGTTTTTATTTGAGTTTACCAAACAAGTTTTTATTTGAGTTTTTAAAATTTTTGTAAATATAAACAGAAAACTGAAAACGTAAGTGTTACCAAACGACACCCTAGAGTTTGGTTTCCTGAAGTGATCCTTGAAGTGGGGTGATCCAACGGTTCCAAATGAAACTAACTAAAACGACGTCGTTTTGGTTAGTAATTTCAAAAATAAAAATAAAAATAAAAATTGCTTTAATTCAAAATTCCTTCCTGCAAATGATATGAAGCAAAACGACGAAGAGAGAGAGAGAGAGAGAACCTTCTCTCTCAGCCGCCTCATGATCTCCAACCCCAGCAACATCTCCAACCTCACGACCCCTCTCCTCTCCTCCCAACTCCCTTTATCCCCCTAACTTGTTCCTGCAATACCATCAACACCACCATAACCCAATTGTAGAACAGAGCCAATTTTCTCATCAGTTATGTTTTCCAGCCCTCTGATAACCTCATTGCTTCAATGTTTGGCTCAACAACACAGTCAATAATTGATGTCAATGGTAATCATCAGATTCAACCCTTTGAAACTATCTTTGTACCTGTTTCAAAACTTCCTAATTTGACACAACCTAGTCGTGTTTTTGTTAATTCAACCCCTGGGGAGAATGGGAAAAAGGGAGTTGTGGTTGGATTGGGAATTGGGTTGGGGGTTTGTGGGATTTTGCTGGTTTTGGTTTGTGGGTTGTTTGGTTACAGAGAAAATACATGGAAGAAGAGGAAATGGGTGGTAAAGAAAGGTGGAGAGGGAGAGAAAATGGTTAGAGGAGGAAAGGCTTTGGATGTGAAATTTGTGGCTGATATGTCAGATTGTTTGGATAAGTGTAAAGTGTTTGGGATTGAAGAACTGAGGCAAGCAACTGATGGGTTTGATGAGAGGTAGGTGATTCAAGAGTCTGTGCATAAAGGTTGTATTGATGGAGTGATTTATGCTATTAAGAAGATAAAGTGCAATGCTTGTGAAGAACTTAAGATCTTGCAGAAGGTAAACTTCATCTTTGCCGCTTGTGTTGAATTAAAGCAAATTTTGAATTAAAGTAATTTTTTTTTTACAAACCAAAACGACGTCGTTTTGGTTAGTTTCATTCTGAGCCGTTTGATCACCGCACTTCAGGGATCACTCCAGGAAACAAACTCTAGAGGATCCTGATACATGAGGACTAGTTTGACTTTTTGTTAATTTAGATTTGGTTTAAGAATAAGTTATTTTAATATTTTTTTTAGTTTTTATAAAAAAATGTATAAAAAATAAAGAGAGTGGTGTGATAACTTATAATGATTTTTTGACTAAAATATATAATTGCCAAACGAAACCTTTTTAGCAAATTAGTTATGTTTAAAAATAAATTTTATTTTTTTTTAATATTTGAATGCGATAGTTATATGAGAAAAAGTGAAATGATTCAGCTTACTTTGTTGTGTTTTTCCAAAAATACTTTTCAGAAAATTCTATTTTCTTGTTTTTCGTGTTTTTTTGTTTTTATTGAATTTTTTTTAATATTTTAAGCATTTTTTTTTTACTTTTTAGACATACTTAACATAAATATACTTAAAAAGTAAAAAAATTTTTCTTGACATTTTTATGGATCTCCTTCATAATATATATGCTTCCGCCATCTCCTTCATAATATATATGCTTCCGCCATGATGGTATCAGAGCCAAGTGATGTTGTATCCTGTTTCTAACTGCTTAGTTACTTCTGATCAATCGTCCTCCTTGTTTGTTTAATTAATCCTGTTTTCGGTTCATCTTAATCACCCACAAGATCCGTCTATTCTATCCACCTAGTTTAAGTCACCCACTTCTTCCCAATCTTCTGTAAGTCCTTCGGTTTAGGCAGAGTCAGACTTTGGGGTTTAAAGATAGGGTATGTATGTATACTAGGTATGTGGTAAAATTGACAAAGAATAGGGTATGTATTAAGATATCTGTAAAACTGGTTAATTAAATCAACACAATGAATCGATTATTTAGAAGTAACTCATCAGTCAGTTCTAGGTCAACTACCTTACCTTCCATACCTAATCCAAGCATCATAATTAATGAAGAAGATGTTGAAATACAAAATGATCAAATTAATTCTGGATGGAATATTCCCAAACTACCTATTAAAGAGATTTATAAAACTTCTTTTATACAGGATGTTTTTAAAGTCACTTTCCATGTTAAAACTATTGAACAAGTTTATGCTTTGGAAAAACCAAGAGAAACCTGTCAGTTATTTGATAAAAAACTAATCAAACGACATTTAGATCGTGGTTACAATTTTATGCATATTGGTTTAATACAAATTGGTGTCAATCCATTAACAATGATAGGACAAAATACTTCTGTTCTACTATGTTTAAGAGATGCTCGTTTCCTTAATTATAATGCTAGTTTAATGGGAATGATGGAAACTGGTCTTAATAAAGGTCCAGTACATTTTAATTGCTTTCCTGATTTTACATTAAGTTTAAGAGATCCACATATTCTCAAAGCATTAACACTGAACATTCAATTACATGGTGAATATACTGAAATGTTAGATTCTTCTCATAATATTGCTTTAATTTATCGTGTTCATTATAAATGTATGCAAACTAATTTAAATGTTCATGCTTTACATAAAAGTCCCAAAGATAAAACTTTATTAATCCAAAGCAGTAGTACTAATGAATCAAACATTAATATTCCTCACATGATTGAATGGAAAGATATTAATTTACCGGATCAATGGGTTACTGTCAATGAAAATTACAAACATAACCAACAACAATCTTCAATCCAAGACATTCAACATATCCAGCAAAACAATGATGGATCAGTTAATATCAAATTTAATCGAAGCCAGTCTTCTAGACATAGTACATCTAGTGTCCCTTCTGAAATATCAACTGAAGATGAAATATTTAACACTCCTCTATTTAGCAAAAATAGTCAAATACATCTTGGTCAAAATAGCTTCAAATAATTCCCCAACTCAAACTGATTTCGAAGGATTAATACCACCTGTCAATCCTCAGCTAATGACAATTAAAAAAGATTTTACTCCTAATTTAGAAAAATTACTTATTGAATTCAAATCTAAAGAAAATAGATCTAAACGACATGCTTATAGTGCTAAATATGATTCTGCTCAACAATCCCGAATAACTCGAAAATGGTATGATTTTATAGTTCAATATGGTTTTGAATTATCTTTCTTTGATTATATGGATCAATATTACAAAAAGATTAATACCATCACAAAACACAAATGGAAAACTTCTCCAAATACTTCGGTTAGTTCTAATCATCCTCCCTTGGAAAACATAATCATTGATCACCAAGGCTCTGAAGTTCCAGCCTCTCCTTTCAAATTACCTGGTACTGACCCTGAAATCAAAAAAGTTATTGAACAAAACAATTATACTAATCAATGTCTCAAAACAATTGGTAAACAATTAGATAAATTGGAAACTAATTTAGATGACCAATCTGCCACATCAGCTAAAACTTTAGATCAACCATTACTTAATCTACCTAGTCATCGTTCTAAACGAAATAGTCTCGTTACTACTGACCAATCTACTGTCAAAGCTATTGAACAATTATTTACCAAATTAACTCCTAATGATACTTCTACATCTAAAGATAAAGGTCTTACTGTTTTAAATCAACAACCTATTATATCTGATCAATCTGAAACTGACACTACTGATAATGAACTACATCAATTAGCTCAACAATTTCAACCTACTACTCTTAATAAAATTCACTATCCCAAAGTTAATCCTCAAACTACCAAAAACTGGTATTCTAAACCTACTCCTGTCGACCTCCAATTTGAAGACACTAATATTAGTAATCAATTTTCTGTTTCTGCTAAAAGGCTTTATGAATGGAATATTGATGGTCTCAGTGAAGATCAAATCCTTCAAAAATTAAATCATTTATCTATGGTCGCCAATAGTTATCTCAGTAATTATCCCCAATACTCTCAACCTGAAATTGTTTCCTTACTTACCTCTGGTTTTACTGGTATGCTTAAATCTTGGTGGGAAAAATACCTCACTGAAACAGACCGTGACTCTGTTATTTACGCCAATCAAACTGATGAAAATGGACTCCCTCTTTTTGATGAATCTATTGGATGTTGTCACCCTGATGGAATAAATCAATTAATATATACAATAGTTCGACATTTTATTGGTACCCCAACAAATATTTATTCTCGGATCCATGATCAATTAAGTAATCTTAACTGTCCAACCTTAAGTGATTTTAGATGGTATAAAGATGTATTTACCTCTCGTGTCATGTTACGCGAAGACTGTACTAAATCATTTTGGAAAGAAAAATTTATTAATGGATTACCTAGCTTATTTGCCCATAAAATTAGAGATGTTCTTAGTCAACCCACTGGTGTTATTGAATATGATAATCTCACGTCTGGTGATATAATTAGTACTATCCAAAAAGAAGGTTTAAAAATGTGTATTGACCTTAAACTTACTCAAAAAGCTAATAAAGATAAACATAAAGCTAAGTATGAATTAGGAAATTTCTGTGAACAATATGGTCTACCTCCTGTTGCACCCTCTCGTAGAAAGTCACACAAATACTCCAAACATAAATCATCCTATAAACATTCCAATAAAAATAAATATACAAAGAATTATTCACCTTCCCAATCCAATGATCAATTTTATACCAAACCTAAAAAGAAATATTATAAATCTAAATCACATCCAAAATCTAAATCTACTAAAGATGTTACTTGTTATAACTGTGGTCAAAAAGGTCATTACTCTAATAAATGCAAAGAAAAACAAAAATTAAAAGATCGAGTCAATCAACTCCACATTGATGATAACTCCAAAAATCAATTATATGAAATCTTTCAATTAAATCAATCCTTTAGTAGCTCCTCTTCTGATCATCCTAATACTTCATCCGACTACCATTCACCTAGTAATAATTCTGATAATGATATTACAATGGGCTGTAATGACGTTTGTTGTAAACCAGTTAAACAAATAACTGTCCTCACCAAAACTACGCAAGAAGAATCTGCCCTCATCGACCTAATTAGTAAATTAGATGATCCCAAGTTAAAACAAAAATATACCCAAAACTACTCAAGAAGAATCTGTCCTTATCGACCTAATTAGTAAGTTAGATGATCCCAAGTTAAAACAAAAATATACTGATAAATTAAAATCCCTCTTAATTCATTCAGATTCCAAACCTAAATTTGATAAACCTATCATTAGTCTATCCAAAACTTTAGAAAGATTTAAAAATAAACAAAAAGACAACGTTACATTGCAAGATTTACAACAAGAAATTAATCAGATTAAACAAACAATCAAAGAATTACAACATAAAGATAAAAAATTAGAAGATGCAATTATTACTTTAAAACTTGATAAAAGTAATCAAAGCATTACAGCATAAAGATAAAAAATTAGAAGATGAAATTATTACTTTAAAACTTGACAAAAGTTTAGACAATTTCCAAACCAATGCACCTGGATCCCCACATGAATCTGAACATGAATTTGATCCCAATCCGGATAACTTAATATTTGATAACCGATCACACCAATCTCAATCCAATAACCCTGAAGAAAAACGGTTAAGTCTAATCAACAAACTTTACATTCAAAAATGGTATTCTAAAATCAAAATAATTGTAAATGATTTTGAATTAGAATTAATTGCCTTAATTGATACTGGTGCTGATTTAAACTGTATCCAAGAAGGATTACTTCCGACTACATATTATGAAAAATGTCAAGAAAAATTAACTTCTGCCAATGGTACTAAAATGCATATCAAATATAAATTACCAAAAGTACATGTTTGCCAAGATAATATATGTTTTCACACCTCTTTTGTTCTAGTCACTAATATGACAGATAAAATTATTTTGGGTTCCCCATTTATATATTTACTATATCCCTTTACTACATCTAGTACCAGAATTACTACACATGTTCTAGGCCAACCAGTGACATTTAAGTTTTTATCTCCTCCTGAATTATTATACTTAAATCAATTAAAAGATTGTTCTATTTCTCATCAAATTAACCGCCTTACTCGGCATTTAAAATTTCTAAAAGACGAAATCAATCACAAAAGAATTGATCAACAACTAACTAATCCAATTCTTGTCTCTCAAATCAAGGATTTTCAATTAAAACTCGAATCAACTGTTTGCTCCACTTTACCTACTGCATTTTGGCATAGGAAAAAACATGTAGTTACCTTACCCTATATTAAAGATTTTCATGAATCCCAAATTCCTACTAAATCTCGACCTATCCAAATGAATCATGAATTACTTGAAATGTGTAAAAAAGAAATTAAAGAATTATTAAGAAATCGCATCATTAGCCCAAGTAAATCACCTTGGTCCTGCCCCGCTTTTTATGTTAATAAAAATGCTGAATTAGAACGAGGTGTCCCTAGATTAGTTATCAATTACAAACCATTGATAAAAAAGATTTAATTAAAAGACTTAGTCAAGCTGTTATTTTTAGTAAATTTGATTTAAAAAGTGGTTTTTGGCAAATTCAAATTCATCCGAAAGATAGATATAAAACTGCATTTAATACACCCTTTGGCCAATATGAATGGAATGTCATGCCATTTGGATTAAAAAAATGCTCGTGAATTTCAACATATCATGAATGACATATTCAACCCATTTAGTCATTTTTCAATTGTTTACATTGATGACATATTAATTTTCTCGAAATCAATTAGTGAACATTGGAAACATTTAACTGCATTCTTTTACACAATTAAAAGTCATGGTCTTGTTATTTCTGCTCCTAAAATTAAATTATTTCAAACTAAAGTCAGATTTTTAGGGTATGATATTCATCATAATACTATCCTACCTATTAGTCGATCCATTGAATTTGCTTCAAAATTCCCGGATGAAATCCTTGATAAAACTCAATTACAAAGGTTCTTAGGTTCCCTCAATTACATTGCTGATATACTACCTTACCTTCCAGAATTAACATAAATATTACATTACTTTTTAGACATACTTAACATAAATATACTTAAAAAGTAAAAAAATTGTGAAAAAAACCTTTTAAAAATTCACTAAATACCAAAAATACAAAAAAAAAAAAGAGAATTCAGTACATTTTTTTTTGTATTTTTATGTATTTATTAAAATTTTAAAATATTTTTTCACAAATTTTTTAATTTTTAGATACATCTAAGTAAAGTGCATCTAAAAAGGTAAAAAAAAATTTAAAAATTTTAAAATATTCACCAAAAACAAAAAAAACACGAAAACCAAAAAACTGAGTTTTCAAAAAACTCAAACCAAACACACTAATTATGATTTAGATGTGATATTTTATTTTATTAATTTATTTAATCTATTTTATCTTTTTGTGTTTATTTAGTTAATTTAACTCTTGCTAAGCAAGGCTTGAAACATCGAGCAATTTTCCACGTAGTTATGGAAAGGGTATTTAAATATCAAAGTGAGGTCTCGTTTGAGAACATATTATTTTAATAATTTTTTTTTATAAAAATATGTGTAAAAAAGTAAAAATAGTGATGTAATAACTTATAATGACTTTTTGATTTAAATATTTAGTTTCCAAACGAGACCTGTATGGAATTTTAAATTTAAATTTATAGAAAGACATTGACTTACACAGTTGAGAGGGTGATTTATGATCTGGAGTTGGGCCGAGATATCGACCAAGCAGGTTGAAAGCCCAGCAGTGCATTGGGCCGAGATGATCGATTGTTCGCCCAGAGAAGGGGCTGCTAGAACTTGGGCTGGGCAGAGTTCGGGCTGTGTGTGCCACCCCGGACCGGACAGAAACTGCTCGGCAAGGCAGTGCTTGGTCGGACTAGGATGCTCGGTCCGAGGATAGCCGAAGCCAGATAGGCCGAGCGACCGGCGCCCGGGAAGGCGCGGACATCCGAGGAAGTTGTCTGACCGGCAGAGAGGCCGACCCCAGGAGGCACCTCGGGCTAGGCTTTGCCGAGATGCCGCCTAGCCCGGTCCTCCTCAGTCTTGGCCAGTGAAGTGCTAGGGTATGGAGCACGGCATGGCGGTGTGTAGCCAAGTAATTCATTGCAATCTCGGCGGGGATACCGAAGCACGGCCCGAATTGCTTCGACGTTGGGAAATTGATAGTTGGCTTGCAAGGCTTGGATTGCTGCAAAGGAAACAAGAAAACTGGTTAGTGACAAGGTAAAACGTTAAGCTAAACCGAGCAAGTTTGAATGACTTACAGGAATGTAAGGAATTCTTACACTCAAACACTCTCTCCCTTCTCTCTATCCATCCTAAGGTGTGTGCTAACTTGATCGTCGGAGGGTTTTTCCGGCCACACACCGCCGGGTAGCTCACCGTTACTTGCTCGCAGGTGATCGGACATCGATGGAGCTCGGAAGAAAGGAGTACGGGCTTGCCGGAATATTTGCTCCCCGTACAACAGTAATTTAACTACTAATATAATAATCATTACTTGGTAAAAAAAAAAAAAAGGTTAATTATTATAGCATCACCAAAGGTGTTTAAAAAATAAATAAATAAGTAAATCACAAATATACTCTCAGACGTTTGATTAAATATGAATCGCTTTTTGAGATTTTAAAAATTATATTTCACTTATTGAGATTTCTAATTTCATAACAAATCACCCATTTTATTAATAAATTATAAAGTCAATTAATAGTTTTTAATGATATTAGAAATATGTTTCAATTAATAATTTAGGTGATTTTATTATTGTATAGGAGAACAATTATGAATTTCATTTTTACTGTTAATTATGTTAAATAAAAAATTATGACAATGGGGTATTCGTAATTTTTCAAATCACAGGGAATAATCTGCATTTAAGGAAACCTCAGGGGGTGTATAGTTAATTTTTTTGAATAAATTACAAATACACCCCTGAGGTTTCCTTAAAATACAGATTGTTCCTTGTGATTTGAAAAATTATGAATACCCCCTTGTCTTAATTTTTTATTTAACAGAATTAACTGAAAAAATGAAATTCATAATTACTCTCATATACAATAATAAAATTATCTAAATTATTAATTGAAACATATGTCTAACGTCATTAAAAACTATTAATTAACTTGATAATTTATTAATAAAATAGGTGATTTGTTATTAAATTAGAAACCTCAAAGGGTAGAATGTAATTTTCCAAACCACAGGGAGTGATTCATATTTTAATCAAACGTTAGGGGGTGTATTTGTAATTTACCCTAACTATTATAGTTAGCTCTAGTTTGATAAGTGACTTTTTTGAGGTTGGTGATTTTTTTAGTTATAAAAAGATAAATTATGCTAAAAAATCAATAAGATAAGATGTCACATTTAAATCATAATTATTTTACTTTTTTTCTCACAATGATTCCGCTATGTAGCTCGAAAAGAAGCCCTCCGAAAGTGATAAAGGTACTTTTTGTATTGTTTGCCCAATTGCACAACATTCGATTGACACCAAGCGCGTTTAGAAATAAAGAAAGAAATAAGGGAGAGAGAGAGAGGAACTAGTCGAAGAAGAAGAACTGAGAGCGACCAGCGCTGACCATCGACCTGGGTGACCACCGACGACCAGCAAAATACTAAATGTGGTGTTCGTTGTCCATGAATCTCTATCGAGAGAGAGGAACTAATCGACATCAATCTCGACTACTCACTATACTCACTGAATCTCGCCGTCCGTCAATCTCTGCAAAATACTCACTGTACTCACTAAATCTGCTTGTGCTTTGTTCAAAGTGAGTTTTTATTTATTTTTTCTTATAAATTTTTATTTTCTTGTGAAGTTTGAATCGTCGAGATTAAAGGTACCCGTGATGACAGATTGAGTTTTTTATAGCTTGAATCATTGAGTTTTTATTTTCCTATTTTCTTGTTTAGACTGAGATTAAAGGTACCTGTGATTACAATTTTTTCTCTTCATAAAAGTCTTCTCACTTTGCGGGCAACAACAAAATTTTTTTATTTATTTATCTTGTCACTGAATGTGCTTGTGCTTTGTTCAAATTGAGTTTTTATTTATTTTTTCTTATAAATTTTTATTTTCTTGTTAAGCTTGAATCAGGGGATTTTTCAGTTTGTATACTGCTTGAGTATAGCATTATCACTACTCTGTTTTTTATACTGTTAAGCTTGAGTATAGCATTACCACTACTCTTCTTTTTATTTCATAAAGACTAAGAGCTAAGAGTTAAGCTTGAGTATAGCATTACCACTACTCTGTTTTTGGTCATTAAATTTGATTAAACATATATCAATTTTGTGTGTTTATGGTTGGCGCATTCATTGAAAAAGACAATTAGAAGCATGAATTTTGGCAGGGGATTAAAAGAATGGTTCTCTATATTTTGTGTTCTTGGTGTTCACCTATATTTGTTGTATAGTTTGTCTCACTTATGAATGCAGACCATATTAAGGAAGGCTTGTCACTGCATTATTCCATAGTCCTTTTATTTTTATTTTTAACATTGTATTTTTTATCTTGAATGGAATTTCCAAATTTTTCATTAGTTAGTTGCATGTTTTCTAGACTTCTATGTATAGCACTTTGCAATAATCAAAGTAAAATTGCTCCAAATAACAAAGTTGTAGTTATTAGCTAAATGGGACTGAATAGCTATGCAACAATGTTCTTCTATATGTGATGTATATATGTGTTTTGGGATGTGTCTATAGCTGAATCTGTGTGATGAATACAAACTATGATTTGAATCTGTCTATAGCTGAATCTGTCTATGGCTGAATATGTTTTGGGATGTGTGATGTATACAGAGTTGCAGCTGCCTTCTGTAGCTGAATCTGTGATGTGTCTAAATCTGTAATGGTTGTATGTGTGATGTACTCACTGAATCTATGATGTCTCTAAATCTGAGTGGTGTTTAAAATCTTATTTTTGATTTGTTATGCATTTTAAAATCCACTTTCATTCTGCTGATTTTTATGATATTTGCATGACCTTTATACAAATTATAGTAGACTATTTCACACTTTGCATTTCAGTTTGAAGGTATAATGGACATTGATTCAAACAATCCTACATTGAGTGGGGGTGAGGAAGTTGAGGAACCGGAGAACAATCCTTCATTAAATGAGAGCGGTGAAATTGAAGAACCTAAGAAGGGGATGCGTTTTACCTCAAAGCAAAAAGTGCACGAGTTTTATGCAAAATATGCAAAAAAATGTTGGATTTGCTATAGCCTACAAAACACAGAATGTTGGAGCTGATGGAAAGGTGAAATACTTTGGAATTGAATGTACTCGGGCGTAGAAGATGACAAAAAGATCAGAAGTAAATCCCCTGAAACCATCTTTGACATCAAAAATTGATTGTAAAGCAAAGATAAGAACGACTTTACAAAAGGATGGAATATATAAGTTCACCACAGTTGTGCTTGAGCATACGCATGACTTGATTCCTAGTGACTCACGGCATTTTTTAATGAATAAGAGGATTCTTACTCCTGTGAAGAGAAGATTAGAAATAAACGATGAAGTAGGAATAGGGGTGTCTAGGAATTTTCATTCTATAGTTGTTGAAGCGGGGGGATATGAGGCATTAACATTTGATGAACGAGATACAAGAAACCACATTGAGAATGCTAGAAGATTGAGGCTTGGAGTAGGAGATGTCGAATCAGTTGCATTTTATTTTCATAGGATGCAACAAGAAAATTCAAACTTCTATTCTACAATTGACTTTGATGTAGATGGTCGCATACGGAACTTGTTTTGGGCGGATGCAAGGAGTAGGGCAACTTATAAAGCATTTGGGGATGTTGTCTCATTTGACACCACCTATCTCACAAACAAATATGATATGCCGTTTGGCCCGTTTGTAGGAGTTAATCACCACGGACAGTCAATCTTATTTGGTTGTGGGCTATTATGTAATGAAAACACGAAGACATTTGTTTGGCTATTCAAAGAATGGTTAAATTTCATGTCAACCACTCCTCCAAAAGCTATTATAACTGACCAGTGTAGAGCCATGCAAAATGCCATAGAAATTGACTTCCCACAGGCTCGACATCATTAGTGTTTATGGCATATAATGAAGAAAATTCTCGAGAAATTGAGAGGATATGCCCTATATGAAGCCATAAAATTCGCTTTGCAAAATGCAATGTATGATTCATTCACAAAAAATGAATTTGATGAGGAATGACAAACGATGATTGCAAAGTTTAGCTTGTATGACAATGAGTGGTTGAGGGTATTATAGACATAAGTGGATTCTTGTCTATGTGCAAGATATTTTTTGGGCAGGCATATCAGTTACACAACGAAGTGAGAGCATGAATATATTTTTTGATGGATATGTAAACTCAAAGACTACAATGCATTGAGAAGTAAGGTAGAGAATGAGACCAAAGTAGACTTCAAATCCTGAAACAAATTGTATGATTGCTTAACAGTGTATGAGTTTGAGAAGCATTTTCGTGCATCCTACACTAATGCAAAATTTAAAGAAGTTCAAGTAGAATTGAAGCGCCTATTGTACTGTCATGCAACTCTTGTGAAAGAGGAGAGATTAATTTGTACTTATCATGTGAATGAGGCTATTTTAGTGGGTGAGAAAATGAAGAAGGTTGAATTTGTTGTCTACTTTAATTCAACTAAATGTGAAATGCAATATATGTGTCGGTGGCTTGAGTTTAGGGGGATCGTGTGTGCCTATTCATTTAGTGTGCTCATTGAGAGGTGCATATATGAGGTTCCATATAAGTAGATTATGCCGAAATGGAGAAAAGATTTGGAAAGAGGGTACACATGCATTCCAACCACATACATGAAATTCGGGGTTGCTCTAAATGCAAAGGTATATGATAACTACCATAAGATATTGGATGAAATTATAGAAATTGCTTCCAACGATGATAGTAAACACAAAGCCATTCAACTTGGGTTGAGAGAAATCAAGAATAGAGTTAGAAAAGATGAATCAGGTTGTGCAAGTAATGTCCCACCGTCTAGTAGTACTATCCCACCTTCTAATACATCCTTGAAAAGTCTGCCTGGTCGTAGTAATACAAGCATGACTCACAAGGTGCTTAGCCCTTTGTTTGCTCGCCGAAGAGGCCATCCATGTATGAAACGGAAGGTTAGCAAGGTGGACGAAATAGTGAATCGGTTGAAGGGAAAGACTAAATTAAAAAGCTACAAAAGTCTAGGTAAATTTTTTATTTTGTGCTTTGTATGTAAATTTCAAAAATGTTGTTGTCTAACTTTTTTACCAATGTGTGTTACTATAGGGTCGTAAGGTGGGTAAAGGTGAACCTCGTAAGTTAAATTTTGGTTGTACGAATAGCATGGAAGACAATACGTACGAACCGGTATGTCTTTGAATATGAACTACTATTTTTTGTATGGTATTAATTTGAATATTTTAAATTATTAATGAAATTGTGTTACTTTTATCATAAGGCATCGCAAGCTCAACCGTGCTATTTTCTTTCTACAGATGACATACAAGTGAGTATGTATGCACCGGTAAGTGTTCAAAGATTAAATTATATTTTTCCGTTGTTTTTATTTTCATGATTTCCAAATTACTGATGAATAGACTTTGTATTATAAGGTGCCGCAAGCTCAACCGTACTATTTTCCTTGTATGGATGGGACACAAGAGAGTGTGCATGTACCGGTATGTATTGATGATATAACATGAAACAGTTTTGCTTCTTGTGATTTGCAAATATGTTTGTGAGAACAGTTTTTAATATTAGTTACTTTGACATTGAATATGCACAAGGTAGCGCAATGCAAATGGTGGACAAAATTGGAAACGCATCTCTGAGTCAATTAGGAATGGCGAACAATATAAGTAGTCAAAGTTTGACAATTGCTTCAAAATTTGTGGACTTGAATATAGATGCGGATCCAACCAACCCATTTTTTTTTATAGTTTCGTACTTGTAATTTTTTGACTTTGGTTTGTAAACTTGGGATAGTTTGCTTGTAAATTTGGGATTGAAGAGAATGAAAGCATTTATATTTGTGGTGATCTTTATGTTTGCAGAAATGTTGTTTTATGAAAGCAGGTTTAAAGCATTTATGTTTGTAGAAATGCTGTTTTATGTTTATAGAAATTGTTTATATATTTTGGGACTATGTTTATGCTTTTACTTAGGGAGCCTTCGGGGAAGTATGATAGTCTCTGAGATGACATTGGGTAACTGGAGATGGTTCCAGAGGCACTGGAGGCACTGGAGTCTCCTTTCCAGGAACACAACTGTTCTGGATTTGCTAGGTAAGAGTAGATGCAATCTCCAAGTAGGAGAAACAAAGTAGTGATCAAAGGCTATAGCTAAGTGGAGGTAACAACAACCTGGAGGTAACAACCAGTAGTATTGGCACTGAGAATTCTCATAGGCTATAGCTAAGTAGCTGCAATGTTGGTCAGGGTCAAACGAATACATGTGAATACATTGTTCTTTTTGATGGAATAAAATTGGTTCCTTCCACTGCTTTCTCATACATCTACACTTCATTCCAAATGTGAAAAGTTTGATGAAAACTTATAAATGTTTGATAAAATGCCTGACCGATGACTTGGTTTTCTTGTAATTTGATTAGTGCTGCTTGGCACACGTTCAATGGATTAGTGAAGATAACAGTTCTGATTTAGTAATGAAATAACATATTTCAAAAGAAAATGAGCTAAGAAGGTCATATTATACCCACATTCACATCAACAACATATTCCTTTCCACTTACAAAAATATACCCACATTCAATTCATTACAACATAGCCCCACAAGCCATGAGATTACCCCAAAACTAACAAAAACTAACAAAGTCAGTAACTAACATCATCAAGCACAAAATCAAACAAAACACAATGACATAAATCATCACTTTCAATTTGTTTTCCATCCTTTGAAGCCTTCTACTATGGTCATGAATTTGATTTTCCATCTTAGAAACTATTGTCTTTAGCTCGTATAATTCTTCTGTTGTTATTGGTTGACGAGGTCCGGTATTGGAACAAATTGTAGAGGTAACGTCCTTATCATCATTGTCATGACGCCAAACTTTTACGCAAACCCGCCCCTAAAAGTTTGACATCGTAACCGGCCAGTAATTCGAGATTACCAAAGGCCTTCATGTACAATAAAAAATAATCGGGACTAGCGGAAGCAATATACAAAAATACCAATGGTCCAATGAGCTGTGCACCTATACGAACCAATATGTACACATATAAACGTAAATTTACCCACAAAACAATACATAACTTATAACATAATATTGTATACAAAACATATGCACGTGTCGAAAGTGTACACCATGATCAAAAGCTTAACAGCGGCCTTCCAGGCCTAACCCCAACTCGGAGGCACCCAAAACAACTCGATATGCTTCAAAATGGTGGCTCGGCTAAAGACCTCTTCTAGACTTGTCCTCCAGAACGCTCACTTATACAGATACATACAAAACAGTGAGTTAAAGCCCAGTGAATAACAAATGCGTAAAGAGGTTATGAATGAAGACATTAAAATCAATCAGTTACTGTAGCAAGTACATTCACATAGCAGTATCATGTTCGTTAAATAAAATCATAGTAGTCATAAGGGTCCACGTGTACGTGTAGCGGTCTTTAAGATCATAGTTGGTACAAATGATCATATAAATTAATATCTTGTATACATAAAGCCATGGTATTATTACCCCCAGGCGAGGGCCAGGTGGATATAGGCCGCGATATTGTTACCCCTCGACGAGGGCCACGTGAACATATACCACGGTATTATTACCCCCGGGTAAAAGCCACATAAATATATACCACAATATTGCTACCCCCGGGTAAAGGTCACGTGAACATAGACCACGGAATTGTTACTCCCGGGTGAGGGCCACGTGAACATAAACCACGGTATTGTTACCCCCGGGTAAGGGCCACATGAACATATTGTGTGAGTTCATTTACTCAATAAATCATATCGAAGTAGTTATTAACAATGACAGTCAGGAAAAAAATATAGCTTCAATATAACTTTACAACATTGTTACTCACAGTGCTGGGTCTGATGATCCACCTTAATGGTTTAACCTGTAGAAATATAACCAAGCACAACAAAACGCATTTTATTTAATTTGTTCAATCAGTTCATTCGTTACATATCCGATATAGCATTTCTATTCTTTCTTTAATTTCTTTTATGCTCATGCAATGCATATGGATGTATATGACACACAAAAACCATGTAAATAAAGGCCCGAAAGTCAGAAAACGGAAAGAAAACAAAATCGGAAAAATTGTCCTATTGGGCCACACGTGCAGTGGTCTTGGCCGCACTTATGGTGGCCTGGCTGCTCGTGCGGTGGCCTTGGCCGCACGAGCGATAGTGAAGCAGTGTACAATTTGAGCTAAAAAAGGTTCGATCGCTCGAGTGGTGGCCCAGGCCGCACGAGCGGTCTGGGTGTAAAACTAGTCCGAAAATCTGTTTTTGCCTTGAACCTCTCCCATTTCAAATCCAACTTCAATTAATACAAAGTAAGGCCCAAAACCCCTTAAAAACATGTCAAATTTAGTATGTCTAACTTCAAATACAACTCATATATGCAAAAACAAAACTCAATTTGTACTTAAAAAGGAACAAAAGCTTGACAATATGCATTTAAGGGCTCCAAGCTCAACTTCCATGGAAATTCTTGGCAAAACTCAAGAGCTATGCATGAAAAACAAATTACTACCAATTAATTCATGAATTGATGCCAAGTATGCAAAGATTAAACATCATTTTTACTTATAAAACACAATACATGCATGTGATCATACATAGTCCATAAAACAAACCCTTTTACACTTAATCTTCAAGGTTTAAGAGATAAAACCTTACCTAGAGCCTTCATAGACACTTGATCTTGCATAATCTTGACAAATCCAAGCCAAATCTTGAGTTTCTTCTTTGATTCCTACACTTTCCCTTTTCTATTTGAGCTTTCTAGGGCTCTCTCTCTCTCTCTCTCTCTCTTCTAGAATTCTCTCTCTTTTTTCTCTCTTTCTCAGATTTTTGGTTGCACCCAAAATGAGCTCATATAAGTCTTATATCACTTATATATCTATAACCACTTATATTACTTCAATAATGAGAGCCAAACATAACTTTTCGAATCAGACGAAATCAATTTTTAATTAAACTTCCTAGATGATTCTAAAAATCTCAATTAACATATCCATGTACTCCATTTCGGTTTCTGCCCATTTCGGCCGTCAATTTAAGTTCCGAAGCCGTAGCCCCAACAAATATTTTCCCAATTCAGGCCGATACTTCCAAATTAAGTCATATTAATTCATAATAAAATAAAGATAATTTTGCCACGTATTTTGGGGCCGTTATAATGATCATCTACAAACTTGAAGTAACTGCATTGTGCCTTATTACTCTACAATTCATGAAAACCAGTTAGTCACAGCAACCAAACCAATTTCCAAATACTAAAGGATTAATTACATACTGACATAGAATAAAGCTTGGTACTTACATATTTTGATGGGCACACAAAGAACAAACGCCTTTGATTTCCATTCTCATTGGTTCGTACGATCTGTTCTTCCACAATCACACATTCTTGATTTTAATCTAATGTTGCTATTGTTAGTAAAAAAAAGAAGCAATTTCTTTATCTGCATAACCAATATGTAAGCCATTTCAATTTTCGAAGATGAAAAAAAGTTGGTCTTCAGTGTAAACATTTTCTGTATAACCAACACATAACCAATACCTAAGCCTTAAATAAATAAAAAAAAGGATCACCTAAGAAGATAAACATTTTCTGTTTTACAACAGTTCATAAATATGGCCTTCAGTGCATGAATTTGGGTTCAAATTGTTTTGAAGTACAATAAACACTAACATCCAACTCTTAAACCTAAATAACAATCCTAAATTTATATAAGCCCCAAACAAAATTTCCAACCATGCAAATTGAAGTTAAAAAATAAAACAAAACAAACCTATATTCATAGAATTCAGATTCATATCATCCAACTGTAAAATCCTATATTCATAGAACAAAACAAATGAAATGAAACAGATACGGAACAAATAAAACAAAACAATTCCTATATTCATAGAATCCTAAACAAAACAAATCCTATATTCATAGAACAAAACAAATAAAACAAAACAAACCTATATTCATAGAATCCTAAATTTACAGCCCCAAATCAAATGAAAATAACAATCCTAAATTCATAATCCCAAAAAAAAAAAAAAAAAAAAAAAAA